AAAATGTGAAGTGATACATTGATATTCGAAACCATTATTTCACCATAGTTCAGATGTTAAACAAACTCTTCCATTCAATATTTTGAAGATGTCAAATAATTCACTTTTAACATCCTCAAATTTCTTTAAAATCCTATTTCTAATAGTATTTCTTGAAAAACTTTGATATTGCAGTGCAAAACTTTCGTGAATCATTTCGGTAAAATCGGGACATTCACTAGTAGTAAAAAGTTGTTCTTTTTTAATAATATAATAAACTATAGAATTTTGTGCACGTATAGGATCGTATGAAAATGTTTGTAAATTACCAATTGATGAAGCCCTTAATTGCATTTGCTTCAAATATCAGGTTGTTGACTTTGTAAATGTTTTTAGCATGCCTTTTTAGATGACTAGTATCCCTTGCAGATGCAACATTAAGTAAATGTACACAATATTTATATTTTTCTTTAAATGTAATTGTACTATCAGAATTATTTATAGATGTTTTTTCAAAATGTTTCCAAACAGTACTAGTTGTGCCCCTAGATGATGATCTAACTATGATAACCATGTTCTGTCTTATGTTGATTAATCTTAATTATTATTGTGATTATGTGTCTGACATGATTTTGAGTGCCAATTGTATGATTATATGTGTTTTTAAATTTCTATCTGTTCACCGTAGGAAAACCTATTTGATTTACTGTTATAGAAGTTAAATTGAAAGCCGTAGAGGCGACAGAAACTAAAATTGACTGTATTATTGTGATTAGCATGATTTTTAAAGTCTACGATGAGATTTAATTAAAAATTGATTCCGATCAAAATAATTCGATTAAATTGATTAAATTAAATACAATTGGTTAGTCTTAATTAAGTTTGATTAGTTTAAACTAATCACCTAGTATATATATGTATGGGCTAAACACACTTAAGCTCATATTATGAGCTCAAAGGTCTGAAAACACACTATAGAAAGAGAACGAGTGAGCCGATTATAGAGAGAGAGATAGAGAGAATTCAACTTGAAGATTTTACCTCAAAGCTTGAAGATTGAGAAGATTAACTCAAGAACTAACTAGAATTTGGAAGATTGAAGCTTCTAGGTGAGTAATTGAACTCAAATTCATGAGTTTAAGTTCATAATTGAGTGAGTTAAAAGATAATATGAAGCTAAAGACAAGATTTAAGGTGAATGTGATGCATTTGAAGTCAATATACATATGCATGCAAGAGATTGCCATGAATTTGCATAATTGAGCATGAAACATGTAGTTCATGTAGATTTGAGATTCATTTAATACATGCATGTAAGAATTACCATGGTATGAAACTCAATTCTAAGGATTTATGTTGTATTTGGAAGATGATTCTTGGAACATGAAGATTATGTCACCAAATCATACATACATGCCTAATTTTGTTGAGTCTCATAAGTCTAAGCATCAATTGTACCATTTCAGATGAAAATAGAAGCTACACTTCACATGCATGAAAGATCCAAGAAGATATAAGATTTGTTTGCATGGGTTTTGAAATTATGAAAATAAATTCGACATAATTGAACTTATGTGATGAATTCATGGGAATTTGAGCTTCAAATCTCGTGAAATTGACATTTAGATCATGATAGAAGTTGTATGGTTGACATATAGGCCATAATATGCAAGTTACACCATGTAAAGTTGTGTTTTGAAGCTCAAAAAGTATGCTGGAAATTCTAGAGTTTGGCATGTCCGCTCGAGCAAAAAAAGTCTCGCTCAAGCATAAAAATCAAGCTTTTAGAAGTTTTGTAGAGATTTACACGGTAGCTCGAGCGGCAAATATTGCGCTCAAGCAAACCCTGTTTTACAAGACTCCTCGCTCAAGCATAAAAATCGTGCAACCAGTACTTTTACAGAGTTTTGCAGATCACTCGAGCGATCGAAGCTACGCTTGAGCAAAGTGCCCTGTTTTGGAAATTTTGAAAAGTCACTTCATATTCCGTTTTCCATTCTCTTTCATTTCTAAGCACTGTTAGGCATGCATTGAGCATTGTAAATGAACTAAAGGAATAAGAAAGAAGCCTAAGAGAAATAAACAAGTTAAGAACGGATTGAATTGCTTGTGACCGAATGTGTTATGAAATGTGTTGGGTCAAGCGCAAGAGCAAATCCATCGACGAAAAACTGCGAGTAATATCTTAGTAAGGATATTTTCAAGTATGCTATCTTCCAAATGCCATTTCTGTACAAGCTTCTTGGATTTGTTGATTTGGATTATGAATGAGTATCTAGTATGCCTAATTTTGTATAAGGCTCTATTGATTTAGGCCCAAGGCCATTTGATATGTATGAATTGGGCCTGAGGCCGTTTGATACATTTGAATATTTTGATAGGCCAAAGGCCGTTTGAATATAAATGTAATGGGCTAAAGGCTGTTTGAATAAGAAGTTGATCAAGATCTTGAACATGAATATGAAATGCGCATAAAGATAACTATGGAAAATAATGGGCCTGAGGCCGTTTGATACGTCTAAAATGTTTGAATTGGGCCCGATGCCGTTTATCGAACAATGGGCTCGAGACAGTTTGATATGTTTGACAATGATCAAAATGGGTCCGAGGCCGTTTGATCATAATAGGCCTAAGGCTATTTGTATTTGAAATTCACGGGTTCGACGTACTTAACATGAATCTTATTCATATAACCCCTTTACTTTGGTATTATCCGCTGGGCGTTAACTCACCCTTATTTATATGTTTGTAGGTAAACCAAGGGAAGTTCAACCCCAATCTTAGTGGAGTTTGAGAAAGGAACCCGAGTTTTGTGGAGTCAGCCCAGATACCTCACGCAAGATGCTTTGTTTATGACCTTTTGTATTTCTTTTGCTACTTCCATTGGTCATGATAGACCATTTATGTGTATAAGCTTTTGGTATAGCTGACTATATGTTTGAATGATCCTAGGTGTACAAAATGCTAATTTTGGTTTATGGTGTGAGTTATTATTTATATATGGAAAATATTTTTGATATGCCATGTAAGCACAACTCATTAGACAAAATTTTTAAGTCTGCTTTCGTTTGGGCCCCTTTATTACTATTGAGATACGTTTAATCTTGTTTGAGGCTGTAAGTAATCTCATAATTACTGGCCGGTTATGACCTTAATCCATAGGGGCGGGTTCGAGTCATGACACCAACTGTTGGAATAGAGATATTAGAAAGAGAATCAACAGATTCATGTTGTGTAGTATATGTATCAACATCGACATAAACATTAGGAGTATTAAGATCCATAGTAATGTAAGTAAAACAATATATAAGAATTAACAATTAATTTAAATAATGTGTAAATACAATGAGTAAAAAATAATAATTAATATATGTTCAAAAATAATTAATGAAAAAAAAATGAATAGCTAATAAATTTAATTAAACTAATTAATTTTATCGACTGGCGAATGTGATATAGAAAATAATCTTTTCTGATAAAAGTTTCTTATTGCACAATTGCAACTGCCACTTAGGGATGATACTTCAAAATTAATTGAGAGTTGAGAGAGACTGAAAGTTTGAGAGAGATTAAAGAATAATGCTATATGTATCAATTAGTGTACGAATTGATGATATGGTATAATTTAAGAAGTTTTTAATATTTATAATTTGTATAATGAGTATGGTTAATAATAATACCATAACTAGTGTTAGTACACTAGTTAGTACACTAATTGATGCATATATCACCACCGGAGATTGAGAGAGTTTAGGAGAGATAGAGAATTATTTGTGAGATTTATTTTGGAAAATGAGAGATATTTATAGTAATTTGAAAGATTGAAGTAAATTTATATATATATATATATATATATATTACCGTTGTATTAAATGGTAATATGACCATTTGAAATTTTATTTATTTTTTAAGTCTACAGAGGTGCTCAGGTACAGAATAATTTGTTGTTGTTGTTGTTGTTTTTTTTTTTTTATTTTTTTATTCAATGAATGTGAGTGAAGAGTGAGTTGAGTGATGCAAACATAGCATAGGGGTAGGTCGTAAGAGGTGGTAGGGACGGATAATATCTACCAACTAAACCAACTATTATAATTTTTTTTCTACAAGAGAAGAATTATGTATATATATATATATATATTTTATTCATTCATTGCGAGAAAATGACCGTTGTGTTGTGTTGTTTTGTTTTGTTTTATGTTATTTTATTTTTAAAATTTTTGTAAGATCAATCTTTTATTTATTTTTATTTTTTATATTTTTTAATCGTTGCAAGTTGTTTTTTATTATTATTTTTTTAAAATTTAATCATTGATAGAAATAGGGCCGGATGGACCAGGCCCCCACAGAGCCCAAAACGTTTTTGGGCCGGGCCAACGGATCAAGCTAACGAACCGGGCCAATCTTGAAATAGAAGGCCTATTCCCAAGAAATTGGACTCAGGCTGGGGCCAAAATAGATTGGACCCACCCTAAGCCTTCGAGCAGACTTCAGACCACCCAGAGCCTCGGGCCAATTTTACGAATTGGGATCCTCCCCTTCATTTCGGTCCTTCATTCCCTCCTTGCAGAGCCTTCGGGTCCACTTTGAGGCCCAATTTTGATAATCCGAACCGTTCATATTTTTAGATTTATTCAGTATATCATACTTATAAAAAATCAAGTTGATCGAATATCATAAAGTATGTGTTCGGAAAACTGTTTATTAAAAAATAGTTTGTAGTCCCAATTTTCTGAACGCATACTTTCTGATATCCGATCAACTTGATTTTTTACAGGTAATTTAATCATTGATAGAAATAGGGCCGGATGGACCAGCCCCCCGCAGAGCCCAAAACGTTTTTGGGCCGGGCCAACGGATCAAGCTAACGAACCGGGCCAATCTTGAAATAGAAGGCCTATTCCCAAGAAATTGGACTCAGGCTCGGGCCAAAATAGATTGGACCCAACCTAAGCCTTCGAGCAGACTTCAGACCACCCAGAGCCTCGGGCCAATTTTACGGCCTATTGATACAGACGAATTAACTAACAAATCAAAATACGAGGCTTAAAAACGTTTCTCTAAATCGAAAGTTAGCAAATTCCCTTGGATTGATCATATTGAGATTTGACTTATTCAAACTTAAATCGATAGGCACCGATTCATTTACTGTTCTTGAACGGCTATGAATCCAAACCAAACTGTACCTTCCAATTGAATTGAAATCAAAATCAAAACACCATCACCTTCATCGATCGATCTGTGCGATTCATTCATTCGGAATGGGTTCTGTAAAAAACGCAAGGAATAATAGCAAAGGAAGTGGAAGTGGAAGTGGAAGTGGAAATAGAAGTGGCAATTGTCTACCAGGAGAGGCGAAGAAGATTCTGAAGTCGCTGGCGTCGAGATGGGGAGATACGATCATGGACGAGGACGATGGTGGTGATGCATTGCAAGTGATCCCACTCAAGGGTGCGATGACAAACGAGGTTTACCAAATAAAATGGCCTACACAACAAGAGTATTGCTCTCGCAAGGTCATAGTCAGGATTTACGGTGAGGGCGTCGAAGTTTTCTTCGACAGGGATGATGAGATCCGTACCTTTGAGTTCATGTCCAAGCAAGGCCAAGGCCCTCTTCTTCTCGGACGGTTCCCCAATGGCCGAGTCGAGGAGTTCATTCACGCTCGGGTCTGTACCCTTCTTTTCTTCTCTTCTTTTAATGATTGGGTCATATTAATCGATCTTACAACTTACTGGCCCCGTTTGGTAGGTTTGGTAGGGCCGTGAGAAAATGATTATAATTTATAGCCTAACAACTTATAATTTATAACTATGAACATCAACTGATTTTTGACTTATAAATTAAATTTTTTCTCTCCCACTCAAAGAATAAGTTGATTTTTTATTTATAAAAAGCTATAAGCTATATTGTTAAGCTGAATCAAACGTATAAAAATAGCTTAAATTAAGCTAAAAGCTAAAATAAGTTAGAAATAAACTTTACCAAACAGGCCATTGTCAAGTATGTTTCATAGACTAACATGTAATGTCAGAATTATGCAATTTTCATGGCAACAACACCAAGACACTAAATAAGTATATATTCAATTTTTTATAGATAGATGTACAAAAAAGTAGATAGATGATGTGATAAAAAAAAATAAAAGGATAAAAAAGTGTGTTAATATCCAACATGCCAAACAAGCTCTTAATGCATAAAATGAGAGTTTTATTGTAAATTTGATTACTTAGAGCATCTCCAATGGCTCTTCACCAAATTTTTCATCTAATTTGATTATAATTTTGAGTAAACGGTTTGATTGGATATGAAGTACTCAAATTATTTCATCAAATTTTCATCATAATCTTTTTAAAAATTCCATTCTTATTCCAAATTTTCTTTTTTTGTCGAATTTGATGGATAAAAAAATCATCTCCAATGCTTCATTTTTTAAAAAATTTCATCAGATTCAAATTTGAGGATGGATTTGATGAGTTCTCAGTTTGATGAAAAGGGTGACTCTTGATTTGATGAACATTTGATGAAAGGATTGAAATGGGTTTTGAGCATTTTTTCTTCAAATTTAAATTTAATGAAAGAAAAGGTGAAGGATTGGAGATGCTTTTAGATATTGTTTGATAATCTAATTCAATACTTAAGACTGAATGTATTAAGTGAAAATCAATCAAGTCCGTTTGATAAGCACAATTAATATCATTTAAAAATTTAGCTAATTTTTAAAATATAAGTTAAAAATTAAGAAAATTGTAAGTGATAGGAAATGTACTTAATGCTGATTGAATTTATAAATACTTGAGCATAAGCATCAATATCTTCCGTTATAACCTTACCACCATCGTTACCCTCATGCCACCATTACAACTACTGCCACTTGTACCACCCCTTGACCACCACCACCACCACCATTACCATAGGCACTCCATTATTTCACTAGCACTACCACACCACCACTATAGCCGCCATTGCCATTACACCACCACTACAACAACTACTATAGCCTTTTACCTCCACAACCATTGCCACCATTGCTATAACCACCACCACGATTACCACCATCATTACACCACCATCGTTGCCACCCTTTTACCTCTTCTATATTACCCCTCCACCATCACCACAACAACTACTATCTCTCTACCACCACCACCATTGCCATTTGCACAATAGCTATTGCTGCCGTAGCTGCCGCAGCTGCCGCCGCCATCACAATATAAAAACTGAAAGATTTAACGTGAAAATAATAAATTTCCAATTTGATATTGTATATATCAAATTACTTGTTTTAGTTTAATACTTAAATTTTTTTCAAACTACTTTTCAACTTAAAAAAATTTAGCATTCAGTTTTGTTAAACACCACCTCAGTGTAGGTTGTTCGATGGTGAGATATCTGGGAAGATGTACTTAGGTACAAAAAGGCACAAAACCATTGAATGTGGAGGAGGAGAGAGCAAAGGCAACCTCAGGAGGGAAGAGAGAGTGGCACTGGAGAGGTTTTTGTTTTGTTGGAGGATAGCAAGGTGATTAGCTGCTTGTTTTCAGACACTGATGCGACCCCTTATATAAGGTGGTCGGACCATGGGGTGCAACTAAGTCTACATAGGTGGCGAGACACTTTTAGGTGCCTTGGAGAATTAGTGCTCTTTCAGGTTGTTGGTGTTGGATGCCCTAGGCTAAGATGTTTGACCGTATTTATATGAGGATTGCCACAACAAAGAACTTCATGAGAGTGCAACAAGTGTTGGAAGATTTTAAGCAAAATAACCTGAGAAGGTAGATTGCTGGAAGAGAGGATTTCCTAGATGACCCCCTAAGTGTGACATGCTTGGGTCTGTGTTGAATTTCGAAGAGAGACAAAAAGATCAAAGAGGCTGAATTACTGGACGAGTGGGGGAAGAGATAGAGAGTAACCTTGTAAAGAAACTTTGTTTATGTAATGATCTTTTGTTAAGGAATGAATCCTCATATTTTGGGGTATATTTGCTAGCATGTTTTGCCTTATTATTCCCTCGTATGAATGGATGTTCATAATGTGTTTAGTTAGATGGTGAGGTTACTGCAAGACGGTGGGCACAATGAACCATCAAAGGTGGATAAGGAGAGGAAACAACTAAGAAGGGAAGAGAGTGGCGGTAGGGAGGTTTATGGTTTGCCATAGGAGAGTAGGGTCATTTGCTTGATGTCTTTCTTCATCTTATATAAGGTGGCTAGCATAGTTATCAAAATTTGGATCTAGATCGTGGGATCATATTACATTCTATTCTAAGACGGTGGGCACAATGAACCATCAAAGGTGGATAAGGAGAGGAAACAACTAAGAAGGGAAGAGAGTGGCGGTAGAGAGGTTTATGGTTTGCCAGAGGAGAGTAGGGTCATTTGCTTGATGTCTTTCTTCATCTTATATAAGGTGGCTAGCATAGTTATCAAAATTGGGATATGGATCGTGGGATCGTATTACATTCTATTCTAAATTGCTAAAACGATCCAAATCGTTGTAGGATCAATGTTATAGTAGGATCGTAACTAGAATTGCTTTGTTTGTAATGTTTCGCCTTATTTTTAATATGTATCATTCTAATTTATATTTTTACCTTATTTTTAATAGAAATTAGAATCTTATGATTCTCAATCCGATCCTATGATTTGATCCGTGAGACCCTCGAATCAATCCTAAGTGAGATCCTGATTTTAACAACCTTGGTGGCTAGACCATAGTAGACAACTCAGCCTAAGTCTAGATGGATGGTTTAGCCCCCCTTAGTTATGGAAGTATCCGAACCACCACTACCTCTCGTGATCAAACATCGGGGGTTATATCATGTGATCTGCATTGAATCAGTGTGAAGCAAAGGTGTGGGTACGGATACTAGTACGAGTACGATATGAGTACGCTGATACGGCAAGACCTAAAAAGATAGGATACGGATACGGATACGATTGGGTACGTCAATAATTTTTTTATTTTTTATAATTTATAGTTGGAGATTCATTCTATAAATCAAAATTCAATACCAAAATTAATAGGATAAATTACAATACCAAAAGAGAAATCATAGTTCAATAATCCCAATACCAAAACAATGTCTATAAGCTATTTTAATGCCATTGAATAGGAGAAATTACAAAACTAAGTTTCATTCTAAAAGCAAGCTAAGCAAAATTTAAAAACTTAAAGTTTTAGTTTTCATTTCCATCAACTTCATCATTGAATAATACATCTTTCATCTTTGGCACATCAAATAAAATATTTGCAATTTCAAGTAAATAAGAATTCTCTAATAAATTAAATGTATCCCCACCAATATCCCATAGCTTGGTGTACTCCTCATCTACCCAACCACCAAGAATGTATAAAAAGTATCCGGTACATATTTCGAGTACCCGGTATGTATGCAGCCCTATCGTTACAAGTACCAGTACCCGATAAGTATCCGGTACGAGTACGACAACATTTTTGGAGTACCCATGCTTGATACACGTTGGGAATTGTATTGGAAGGGCTCCAATGTTGGGTAAGGGCAGGCGTTGACAAATTAGGTTCAAGGCGAACCTAGGGTAGAAAAAAATAAAAAAAATCCCATGGCCAAGCCTAGCTTGGCTTGACATTGGGCATAAGATTCCTATCCTAAGTATGGCCCTAAAATGATATTACAATCCTTATCCCACCTAACAAACCCATATATTAATACAAAATAAATGTTGCAAAATTAATTAACTTCAACTTTGTAAGTTTCCTTTCTTCACACAAAAAATAAATAAATAAATAAACAAAATAAAATATAAAACAAAAAAAATAACTACAATGTAATAGAGGTTGCACAAAACACCCAGTATTCACTCATTACATCCTAGTTTCAAAGTTTGATGGGTGTATTTTTACTCTTAAATGCATTTTCTTCATTAAAAGAAAATAAACTAAATAAGTTATGTATGTAATTTACACCATGGTTTTAAATTGTGGTATCATTAGAGTAACGGTTGTGGTCACATGTAATGGGTTCGGGAAACACTGGTCATTGTGTAACAGGACTCGAAGCAAGATCATGAATCTTTTTCAAGTATTGGTGAGTGCTAAAGAAAATCATGAATCTTTTTCAAGTATTGGTGAGTGCTAAAGAAAATAGTAAGGCATGTTCCAAGTCTTTTGACCATATTTATCACAATCTGAATATTTCTAGTGCGTTTTCATCAACATTTTGACAATTAAGAAAAATGTTTTCTATAGTTATATTGAAATTAATGTTTGATTTCGAGTCCAAAAAGTGAAGGAGCTCATCTGGTAAAGGAATTTTACTACTAGAATAATTAGAAAAGCTACTAGCACAAGCAATCACAAGCCAACATTTTATGGTGTACAACAATACTAATGGCCAATACATGCACTAATTGCAGGTTGTAGCCAAAAAATCACTACGAGTTGTCAATTCATTCTCTCTACTTTTTTTGCAGGTCTTTTTGTAAAGCCACTAAAAAAACCAATTACCAAATGAGCCCAGTTAAATTGCAAATGCGTAGTATTATTATAGTGTTAATTTTAATCTTGAACAGTCACAATCACAAGTTTATTGAAGTAGAGATTCTCTTTTTACCAAGAAAAAAAGGGTAAACAAAGAAACTCTGGACCTCATATACTAGTTTCTTGTACTGCTAAATAAACAGTGTAATGAGTCCTTGTGACACTTTCAGGTCAAATTTATGTTGAAAGACATTGTGATGCAATGCAACAAACTTTAATAAACTTTGAATTCTAATCATGGCTGTTATTACTCAAATTTCACTTTAAAAAAGAATATAACATCTTTACTTATTTGCTTGTTTGTACTTGTGGATAATGGTTTATAGTTAAGTTTTGTTGTTGCCTCTCATTAAATGAAGCTCTTCTAGTCAAAGAATAGATTGTTTTCTCTTGTTTTGCTCGTTAAACTAATAAACTAATTATGCTTTAAACCAGAAAATATCTTCTTCTTCTTATTCTTCTTTTATTTATTTATTTATTTATTTTTATTTTTTATAACTTAATTTCTTTTTATGTGAATTTCAGACACTATCAGCTTCTGATCTACATGACTCAGATATATCTGCTCTTATAGCAGCCAAAATGAAGGAGTTTCATGATCTTGATATGCCTGGTCCAAAGAAAGTCTTACTGTGGGATAGACTGCGGCATGTTCCCTTATCTTTCTATATCTCCTTTTTTTTTTTTTGTTAATCATGTTATACTGATCAAGGTTGGGATTGTAGTTGTTTCTTGAGCTATTTTTGTTACTGTAGCAGTTAATGTTTAAAGTGTTCTTTTTTCAATGTTCAGTAATTGGCTTAAAGCAGCCAAAAGTATGTCTCCCCCAGAAGAAGCTGAGGCTTTCCGCTTAGATGCCATGGACGAGGAAATATCCATATTGGAAAAGACTCTTTCACACAATAATCAACTAATAGGATTCTGTCACAATGATTTACAATATGGTAACATAATGATCGATGAAACGGCGAAGTCAATAACTATAATTGTAAGTTTCTTCTTGAGTTGAATTTATTCATTTCATGATTTCTCTCGCTGAAATTTTAATTTCAAAGCTCTATGTCATTCATTTCCTCTAAAACCTTCATTGTTAGGCTCTGTGATTAGGTGTTTTTGTAGATAGTCACCAGGAGGTCTCATGTGAAATGCTGACATACAAAACAACTAACTATAAGTCAGTAGACCATTATGAAATGTTGCTGATGGAAAAAAGATCTCTGAGAGTTGTTTCTTGAATTCGGAAGAGAGTACATGGGTTCTCCCAATAACTAAAAAATGCAGCATGCATGAATCTAACTAAAATCCGCAGTTTAATGGTTAATTTTCTGAATGGTTCGAACAATTTTAAACCTATGTTACCATGCTTTGTAATTGTTATTTTCCTGACAATGGTGGCAGTTCAGCTATATTGCTTGCATAATCAATGTATTTAGATCGTTGTGTTCTTTAGTGGATTCATCCAAATTCACATGGTATAGGTATGACTACCTAGTTGAGTGGTTCATAGTATAGTGAAGGTTTGACTGCTAGTAGTTAATTTTCCAATCACTATGGTCAATGAGATATATTGATCAGTAAAATTGATACCAGGATGCAATTTTTGGTCATCTTATTAGACAAGAAACTTATCTTCAGGATCTGGTCTCTCTATTACCTGGGTCATTAATTGAAGAATATGTTGAAAAGTTCGAGAGTATTCCTTTCTTTGTGTTTAGACAGTTCAGCTTTTCACATGTATTTCATTGTTTTTTACCCCAACAGATATACATGTGTGTGTTTGTGTGTGTTTCTTCTTCTTCTTCTTCCTCTTTTTTTTTTTTTTTTTTTTTTCCCCTTCCCCTCTTTTTAGTTGTTATTCCCCCCACCTCCTCAAGTTTTATGTTCTTTTACCAGGACTATGAGTATGCAAGTTACAACCATGTTGCTTATGATATAGCAAATCACTTTTGTGAGATGGCTGCCAATTATCATACAGAAACACCTCATATTTTGGACTACAGTAAATATCCAGGTGGGTGAATGTTGCAATTTATTTTGTTCTTGTTTCATTCCTTTAATTGCTTCAACTTAAATTTCATTATTATGTGTTGGACTACTGCATACAAAATGATTTCTCTCAACTTAATTGGCTGCAGGTTTGGAGGATCGTCAAAGGTTTATGCGCATTTATCTGAGTTGTTCAGGTAGTAATTGATTTAAACCTCATTTTATCGTTTTTGAGTGAGTTCTTGACAGCTTAATCCTGGTTATGTAGCAGTTACTTTCCACAGGATTGTTAAGTGACACTTTCACACATTAATAGGCCAAGAATGACCAATGAATTGGAAGAATTTTGAGACCTCAGATGTCCGTTGTCATCTTTTTGGCACAAAACACATCATTAACTGTTGAGGACTGCCGTTATTGGTTAACTTGTCAATACTGTTGCATGATCTGCAACTCATTATAGTTGCCAAAAAAGGTATATTAATTGAAAAAAATAGAAAGGAACCGTAAATCCCATCTTGTAGTGCAATATACACACTAGTTTTGATGAAATGAAGATATAAATATAGTCAGACTTCCGAATTTAAGGAAATGGAAAGGGAAAAGGGGAAAAGTGGCTTTTGTCATAGTTAGAATGTAAAATGGGGAAATTTAGGGTTGGGGTTAGAGAGGACGATAGAGCGAAGAGAGAAGAGAGAAAGAGATTGTGAATATGTGGTTTAGAGTTCTTGAATTAACTCTACACCAGCAAAATATAGTTATATAAACCCTGGCATTATAATATGACCATAGTACCCTCAACTTAACTAAATAATAACATAAGAACATATATAACTATTCTAACACTTTCCCTCAAGCTGGAGCGTAGAGATCAAATATGCCCAGCTTGAAAGATAAGCGACGAAACATTGATTGAGCCAAAGGTTTAGTGAGAATATTAACCAATTGATCCACAGAACTAATATAAGGAGTTACAAGTTGCTTGCGCAGTAAGAGACCTCAAATAAAATGACAAAGTTCAATAGTAGTAGCAACATGAGAGTCTAAGCTATGCCATATCCACCCCATAACACATGAACCCTCACTACACCAATCATCATAAGTAGTATGATCAGTAGCAGGAGGTAGTTTGGTAAGACAATGTAACTTCTTCTTGCCACGTAAAAAAATTTAATTGCATGAGCCCAAGCCATATAGTTTAAACCATTCAATTGTTTGGTAGTAATAGATTTAGGCATCTCATCATCCTTAATCACAATCATAGGTGGTTTTGCCTCAGCCTTAGTCTTAGTCTTAGCCATGATACTCACGCAAGTCGCACACCAAAGAAATACAGAACCAACAAAAATACCAGCAAAACACGGTAACCAGCACCCATAACAATCAGGAAAGGCAAGAAAACAACTCAAAACCAATAGCCCATCAAAAAACAGAGTCAGAGAAGAGGAAACAAGCTTGAAACCCCCTTTTCTTGAAACCAAGGCACAAATCAGACCTAAAATTCAACCCAACACCAACAAATCAACAAACTAAGATCAAATACACCATTCTAGGGTAATTTCGGCGCCTATAGGGTGGATCCCAATAAGTAGAAACGGCAGAAACCAAGCCCAACTGCAGATTCAAAGAGTTACAACAAGAAATTCGAAAAGCATTCAAAAATAGAAAACTCACATCAGAGGTAATCAAAAAATTCCACAAAAAATACCATCATACTCAGGAGAGAATTTCGAGCCTAGGGTGAAATTTCAGGTTGTACAGTTGCTGACATCATGCTGACATCATCGTGGGGATAATGACGTTAGCACGTCTTTGTCACCTCAGGTCAATCTCCAGAGTCTATATGGAGTGCTCTCATACCAAATTAGAATGTAAAATGGAGAAATTTAGGGTTAGGGTTAGAAAGGAAGAAAGAAAAGAGGAGAGAGGAGAGAGATTGTGAACACGCGGTTTAGAGTTCTTGAATAACTCCAAAACACCAGCAAAATATATTTATATAAACCTTGACATTACAATATGACCATAGTACCCTCAACTTAACTAAATAATAACATAAGAACATATATAATTATTCTAACAGTAATCATTTTAGGGTTAGCATCTTTAATTATATTGTTCTCTTGTAATCTCTTTGATTTAATACAATACTATACTTTTTCTCTCTTGCCCAAGTTTTCAGCTTTGTTGTTTTCCTCTAAACCTTTGAGGTTTTCATGCAGGTAACCAACCTAGTGATACGGAAATTAGGCAGCTAATTGAAGATGTTGAGAAGTATACTCTTGCAAGCCATCTGCATTGGGGCTTATGGGGAATAATATCGGTATTATATGCCTCCTCATTTAGTTTACATTTTTGGAACTTTTTCGATTATGGCACATCTCTTTCAATTCTTGTATATCTAAACCTAAGGTTTGTTGTTCTAATGGGCTTCGATATTCTCCTTCTACTTCAGCAAGTTTTGAACAATGGGTGTTCTGATGACAAGAAGTAGAGTAGTTAGGAATTTTCTTGGTTGGTAGGAATCCATCTTTGGTAAAGGATGGTGGTGATGAGATGACAATTTCAAAAGAGAGGAATGAGAAGTTGGAGGAGGGAGATGGGGTAGATTTGGCTGCAGTAGTTGATGGTGAGCAAGGGATTAAGGGTTGTGGGGATGTTGTGTGAAAGTTGATGTTGTGTTTATTGTACTGCATCATATATGCTCTCCTAAAGACATCAATATAAAAATTGTTGAAACTTTGAAATTGACAAAAATTTCCACTAAAACAAAGAAAATAAATTATTCGTCAAACTAGTTTAGTTGACATAGCAAAAACATGTTTGCAGTACACAGTGAGCTGCAATTGGTTCTCCAACTGCTTTCTGTTCTGGGAAATTATTCGTCAAACTAGTTTTTCGATATATCTACTCCATTATGGTCCTGTCAAATGCAAAAGGAGGAAACCAATCCTAGCATCAAAATTAACAAAAACCAAAATAAACAGTGGAGAATTTTCTCTTGCTTTCCACATAAAGGGCATCAGTGGGGACCAATTTCCTTCTTTTTCCTTATTCTATCTCACTGGTATTATGTTATGATATCAAATCTCTATCCTCTAATTTGTGGGCATTTAAACCTTGCCTTTGACGTTTAATGCCATTTGCAAGAGACCAAATGATCAATTGGAAATACTGGAAACTATTCATAAATGTGAGTTGACCATTCAACTTTTAGTTTCAATCTAGGGTGGTTGTTATCCTGATTCTCATGAAAAGCTTGGGTCTTGGCCTTGTCCACGCAACTGCATTCATGGATAGAAGAGTACGATAATATCCTAGGGAAACATCTATTTACTTGTATTATATATTAACTTCCTAACATATTGCCTCTAAATTTTTACGCCAGGAACATGTTAATGAAATTGACTTCGACTACATGGAGTATGCAAGGCAGAGGCTTCAACAGTACTGGTTAAGAAAGCCTGAGCTATTGGGTTCTTTCGGAGCTACCCCGGGTGGTGTGGCTGATGGTACACTTCTATCCACCTAACTTTATTGTTTGGATATGGTTATATATGTGTCTGCAGAGTATTAAAAGTACAATGCAGTTGCTGGTATTAAAGTTTGACTTGTTGAGATTATGTTGGCAGGTTTTATTTTGAACTTCAATATTTGTTTAGAAACATTGTCATATGTTGGTGATTAAATTAGAAATGATCATCTTAATTATTTAACTTTATTTCTCTCAAGCAACAAGGATTTATCTTTGTAGCAGCTTTCCTTTATATAACATTTTTCATTTTTTCAAATTTTGGTCTTTCAACGTAACTCATGAATACTAAACATATGTTCATGTTTAACCAATGAAATACTGTTTTTAACTTGTTAGTGTGAATTATCATAGGATAAGTTTTTCCCTAGGCAATGAAGTACAATGTAGGACATGTCACACATCTTGAAAGAGGTTATTTCATATTTGGTTAAAATCCTGTGTAAAACAGTCAGAAAAATTAAATGATCATGTTGTAAATCTTACAAGATCCCAATGTGAACAGTTTTAGTTAGATCAGGACACTCATGCACATGAATTTTAGAAGTTGAGCTGCAAGCTTAGCTGCTATAAATTTAGTGTTGAGGATCCTGAGGTCCTGTGTTGTGGTCAGAAAGTAAATTTCGAACATTGGCATATGTAGTGGTATTGTATGAAATATTCAAAGGTACAAGAGCTAGTGTGTCTGCAGAAGGATCAAAGTGTAGCTAGGAAATACCTATTAAGTCTTTTTAGGAAAACATAATAAAGTATTAGAAACCACAACCTTTAAACCTGCATCCATAGCTTGGTGTGAAATTCCATAGCTTGGTGTGAAATTTTAAACTCCATGCCTGTCTTTTTTCTGTTGAATTAGTAGAACTTTTTCTTGTCGCCTTGAATTGTCGAAGATGTGGTTCTGTAGGCTACTTCTGCACATTCATATATTCTTGTGCTATTCAATAATAACAAGGTCCAAAAAATTGAACAATGCCTCTAATCCTTTTTCTTTTCCGCGGGTGCTGCATGGATATGCCTCATGATGGGTGGTCCCCATCCTCCTATTTTTCATCAATGCAAAATATCACCAATCTCATTTTCATGTTGCACCTATCCTTCTACATCCTCCATAACCATAAAGTTTTTCTCTAATGTTGAACTGATGTAGGACCAGTATGAAGAACACTTGTATTACATGGTACACAAGGCTTGCCGACTGCCGAATGTCAGTGGGTGTTTATATGACTAATTATAGTCAATTACTTGTTGCTATAGATCAACAAAGTTATGGGGCTTAAAGGGTTTGTAGGAGTGTGAGAAGGGGATGTGATAAAGGGAAAGTTTGGAGGTTGTGAAGAGTTCTCATAAATTCTAAAAAGAGGTTGGTTTGGATTATTTTGAAGGGTTAAATTGTGAAGTACAGGTTGGGCTTGTGGTTTTTAGGGTAAAAGGGGTTAGCAAGACCTGGTTTTGGGTTGTAAGGCATAATAAAAGGGTCAATTACATGGAGACCCTCTGAACTATTGCGAAGAATCACTTGGACCCCCTGAACTAAAAAAATAAAAGTACAATTAGGCCCCTTAGCTATCAAAATGTATCACATACACCCCCTCCATCCTTCAGCCGTGAGTTACTTGTGAGATTGAAGGTCATGGGCAAATATTTTGGTTATTTTAATGTATCCTTTACCAAGGGGTTAATTACACGGAGACCCCTTGGACTATCATCAAGTATCACTTTACGCCCTAAACTATCATGAAGTATCTGTCTGCACCTCTGAACTATTAAAGTGTACAATTAGACCCTTCAACTATCAAAATGTCACACACCCTCCGTTGCTGTTAATGGAAACAGTGGAATGACTAAATTGCTCCATCTTTTTTATATCTCACACACCCGTTATCTCTGTCATTTTATTGTATGATGGTTGTATTATATTATTGTACTAGGGTTTGTAATGGTTTGTATTATTGTCCTATGGATTGTACTGTGGCAGACACACCCACATAATTCCCATGTGTCCATAATTAATGTGCTGCTCATATATCCGTCATTATTGTAATAGGTCCAGGAGCTCTCCCCCCTGTCTATATAGGAAGCTTCCTCCTCTAGTGTAAGCAGGCCTTAGCCACTCTTGTAATAAACTTGTTCGTTCTTGTGTGCTTAACGTTCCCCTCGATGATTGTACCTCCTCTCTGGTTGTCTCTTTTTCTTTTAGGGTTTGATATTCTCCAATCCTTTGGTAAAGTATTCTGGCTTTCAAAACTGAAGTTCAAAAACTATTTTCTCCCCTGGACTACCCAACCAAATTTTTTCTCTTGATGTTCTTTCAACCCTTCGAGAAACCATTATGTAAACATCTTGTGTTGAATCTCATTTCCAGTTTCTTATCAAATGTTCCCATCCTCTTTGGAAAAACTTCTTCATTTCTCTTTCTTTTAAGAAAAATGAAGACATTAATCTTACTATGGCCGCCTATCGTGGAATGAATCTTGATCACTACCAGTTGGCCTTACAAGAACTTCCTTAGTTTTTTCAAAGATAATACCAATGTGGTACAGATCAACAAGGTAACCATAATAGTAGGCATGCTTACATACAGAAATGAAACATGAAGGATAGATTAAACTTGAGAACAGTAAGAAAAGGGTAAATAGGGTAATAAGAGAATTTTTCTATAGGTCCATTGTTTAAGCCTGGTAAGATAGTAGGGTTTAGGATTGAAGCTACAACACCAGTATCAAAGAAGGCAATTATAGGGATGGGCTTCTAATATTTGCCAAGAGAAATCTGGATTTAATTCTTGGGTTGGAGTAGAAAGGAAGTTTGAGCAAAGGGATCCAGGGAATGGAGTCAATGGAGGTCATCATAGTGGGGTAGGTCGGGAATAGAATCATCAGAGTCAGAGAAGTCACTTGATTCAATTTCTACATCAGTGTCTCACATTGAATGAACTTTTGATGATTGCAAAGCTTATCCAGAGCTGCCAAAACATTTTGATAAAGCCCACCAAGGGATGTACTTGATAGTTGCTTCCCTTGATCCTTTTGCTCAACCTTCTACAAGAGTGACTAAGGCCTACTTACTCCTCTGCTCAACCTTCTACAAGAGTGACTAAGGCCTACTTACACCGGAGGAGGAGGCTCCCTTACATAGACAAGGGGGAGAGCTCCAGAACACATTACAATACTGACAGACACATGTGCAACACATTAATAATGAACACATGGGCAGCACATACCATGTCTTCCATAGGACAATAGTACAAACCATTACAAACCCTAATACAGTAATACAATCAATAATAAGACGAACTTACAACTATTGTACAAGTATAAGGCAAAGGATTGGAAAAGAATGGAGAATGTGATGTGTGAAGAGGAGTTTGGGCTGAATTTTCATCTACTTCCTCAACAATAGGATGTGGTTAGAGCCTGTTTCTTCGTTCATCATATGGATGAAGGGAACACATGAAATGGTATTACACAGTATCGGATGCTGATACTTCATATTTAGATTCAAGATGTAAGGGAACCAAAAAGCATTGGAACAAGAAATGGTATTGCTTCAAGAAGTATTGTCAAAAAAGAAAGTCTGATAGATGCTACCAAGGTTGTTAAAATCGGGATCCTACATTGGATCGTTGGAGGTGTTTATAGGATCGGATCGTAGAATTGGATCGAGGATCGTAAGATCCTACCGAAAAAGAAAAATTACATAATAATTTAATTTAAATAAATATTTCTTATAAAGTATACACAAAATGAACCTATATTTTATTAAAAAGAAGTGAAAATATTGTGAAAAATATAATACTCCATGTAAAATGTACATATAATATTATGCAATAGAAAACTCGATGGTAAAAGTTCTGTATTTTATCAAAAAAGAAGGTGAAGAAGAAGAAGAATTCTATAACAAAATACTTTACAATGTACAATAATGCATAAAAAGTGAAGAAAAAATATTTAACAAAATTGGATATGAAAATAGATTAAGAAAGAACTCAAAAGAGTAGCTTAGTCGAATGATAAGGTTTGTCGTTAGCATCCTTAGTGGAGCGGATTCGAGTCACAAAAATAATTTCTCCAGAAATTGGGATGAAGTTACAATCATCTTACCCTTCTTAGACTCCGCTAAAGCTAAGTTTGTTTTTTCGACTATTTAATTTTCTTAAATTACCGCAATATTTGAATGTTTGTTTCCTAGTTTGTTTTTCTTAGTCTATTTGATTCAATACTACTTAATTTTTATTATTTATTTTGACAACATAAATTGATATTTAGACAACAAATATAAAATTTACAACAAAATATGTCATACAATACAAAACAAGGCTTGTAAATTGGATCGGATAGGATCGGATTCGGATCGGGATTCCACGATCCTATAAGATCCCACTACCAAGATCAAAAGATCCTACCTATAAGGAGTTTTTTACACGATCCGGATCGATTGCACTCAAATGGATCGTAAGATCGTAGGATCGTAAGATCTGGATCGGGATTCTGATAACCATATCTGCAAGAAGAAATGTCACCAGAAATCCAAGACAAAGTAGTTAAGTCTTTGTCCCAAATTCAAAATCATGATGACACTCTTCAATGGAGGACTACGAGCAGGATGGAAGGAATCTCAATCACGGACTGCAACAGAGAGAGGGAAGAGAGGAAAAGAAAACAGCGTCTAGTGGGACGGCGACTGGTGACGGTGTTTGGCCGCAAAAAAGAGGTGACACAATGCCATTGAGTCATCACAGCACGAAGGAGGCCTGACACCGACGGAAGATGATGGAGACGAACTGCAATGGCAATGCTAGGGATTTGGTAATGTGGTCTCTGTCTTCTTCTTCTTCTTCTTCTTTTTTCTTTTTTTTCCCTCATGTCAGACGATTAATTTTTTTGGGGTTTTGATGGGGGAAAGTAGAAAGGGAGGATCAAGGATTGAGCTTTGATACCAAATTAATGTGGAAAAGGTAGGAGAAGAAGAGGAAACACTCAAAAAAAATGGCCACAACCTAAATCTCTCAACAATGATATAACCAAGACTGAATATTACAAAGCCAAAAACTTAATATATGTGGGCCAAAACCTTTAACAAATTAGGAAAACGAATCCTAGTAATATTTTTGGAAACATAATAAAAAAATAATTTAACAAATGATTGTTTAACACCTAACTAAAAATTAATAATAAAAAATAATTTCATTTATTGAACTAAAAAGTCTTTGAACCTACCCACGGTATCTGGCAATGAGCTTCCAACCAGTCAAGGGGTGCACCATCAATTACACATGAGGATGCAAGAATTGGGCTGGGTTCTATTTTATTATTCTTTTTGGGTACATTGGAGGTCCTAGCCTAAGAAAGGAGTCATCATGCCTGTATTGCAAGACTTGAACCCTTAACCTCATAGTGAGGTGTAGGAGTTTTGGCCAACTTTGCTAGCTTCAGTCGGTTGTTTTTTTATTTTTTAGTTACTTATTTCAGTTTTTCAGTAGTAACTTGATCATTTTTTTTTATGTATTTGTTCCTTGTATAGAGCACAGACCAATTAAGAAAGACTTTTGCTTTTACCGAGAAAAGCAAACTGTTACCTATGGTACCATGAAAAATAAGTTTAGTCATGGTCAACTTAACGTTTCTTCTTTTCTTTTCTTTTTTCAATAGGAATGTTTCTTTTTAGATTTAGTGGACTGTATTTATTGTCATCTAAATTAGTGAGATTAATCAGAATTGATGCATTTTAAATTGGTAGCTTGCTTGAAGGTGCAGTAGTTTAGCCCCTAAAGCCTGCATTTTTTAAATTTCAGCTCAAGTGAATATGATGTGTGTTGTTGTGCAGGCAGTTAAGAAGGTACAGGACACTGTTGAAGCCATTACGTATGCTCTAGATGAATATTTGCGACATTTGCTAGCTTAGAAGGAATGACCATCGGTTTGTTGAGATCGTTGGAACTCGACTTCCATAGATGTATGTAAAAAAATGAAGAATGGTATTTCTCAGGTGTTGTAGTACAGGGATAAAATGTCGCGAAAAGTGAGGGTTAAACATCGATGTAATTGTCATTTTCTTGTGTATAAATTTGCAGGAGTCTTCGTGGAATGGCTTGATATTATCGTCTTGATACTTCCGAGAAATTTAATGTATATCAGAATTGTGTTCTTAGTGATTTGTGTCCATGCATCAAGGGACTTGATAAATCCTAGGATTTGGAAATTCTTTTGACTTTAATTCTTGTGATTTATATGGAAAATTTTGAATGTTTCTTTTGGGATCAATGAAGTATATGATGGGATCGCTTATTGGAAAATATTTTTCTTTTACAATTTTTATGCAATTTTTTACCAAATGATGTGGTTGTGTCATTTTTATTATTAAATATTATAAATGAATCAGTATCAATGTAGTCATGTTCTGTATATAAATTATAGGGAAAAGTGCACTTAAATTAAGAGAGATGTGAGTCAGAATGTGTTCAATGCAATGGGAAATTGTAGGCATGCGACAACTTTCATTTGTTCTTACTTGTATCTCTCGATGAAAATGCAATTATTTTGAATTATTACTTAAATGTAATTTCTTCTAAATTTTATGTACTTTTTCATAGTTGATTAACAATATAAATACAATTAAATAGATAAATGAGCTTTTAACTCCACCCAATTACAATTCAAATAGCCAACTAGAATATCAATAAGCACAAAATGAAAGTCGCCTAACTAACAATTGCCATTCAGCTAAATAATTATTACTTGTAAACAGAAAACACAAAGAATGAGAGGATTCCTATGAAAGGGAGCCGCCTCATCGGTTGCAATCAGGCAATAGCCACTTTAGTATAGGATTTTGTTAACATGGGCTGTTGTGTTAAAGAAGTATTAAGTAGTAGGAATGTTATAGAAACTTAAATACTGTTGGAATTAAAGAAATTTTATTTATTTGTTTACCTAGAGATCAAAAAAGTGTATTCAGTTCATAAATTTAAATTTAGATTTTCTTGGCCTAAAGGTCTATACGCTGAAATATTATGTCCATAAGGGCAATTTTCGACAAAATGACCAAAACACCTACACACATTTATATATACCTATCTTCGCACCTCAACCCCCTCTCTCTCTCTCTCTCTCTTCATCCTCAGATTTCTCTCCATTGCGGCACCTCCTTTTCTCTTCCCCTCTGGACCTTCTCTTTCTTTCTCTTTCCTCTCGCTTTCTCTCTTCTGTTGCTTCGTCGCTCTAGATCTAAGGGACATCAATTCTACCGTCTCCAGATCTTCGCTACCTCATTCTCTAGTCCAAAACAGATCAAATGAAGCGTTTGAATCACAAAGAGTCCAAATCAGAGTCAAGGTTGTCAGTGGCGATGATCCTAAGATTGCTCAGGGAACTCCAAAAAAACACGATCTCCGATGATGAGAACACACCAAATCCGTAGAGCGTCCTTACCTCGCTGTTCCATAAATTCACAACGCTTCCCACCATCACTTTGCTTTATCACCATCAATGTCTCTCTGCCTCTCTCATTGTCAATTAGGTCTATCGATTCAATTCATCAAAAATGATTTGCTGCTTCCCTGTAACTTTTAGATCACTCTTCAATAATGGAATTTGATAATTGACAAAAGAGGATCGAACTGGGGTTTGTAGGTATGGCTAGACCAAGAAGAATCAAAAACAAAGGAGTTTTGAAAATTTAAAACTTGTTTGGTTATGAGTTTTGAAACTAATTTTTGAGTTGTATATTTTGAAAGTAGTTTTTAGAAATTTGAAAATTGAAAACTTATTGGTTAGGAGTTTTCAAAATTAATTTTTAATTAGAGTTTTTTTGGATCTTGTATTTTTTTTGATCTTGCAGTCAACTTTTCGCAATATTATAATTAATTTTGTTTACTTCTTTTAAACACGTAATTTAAATGTACTTTATAAATTTTTTAATAAATAAAAAGAAAGATCACTTTTCAATTCTTTCATTTTTTTTTCCCCTGATATGGATGACTGGCAAGGGTTATACAAAAGTGCCTATGAAATATTATTTTTACAGGTTTGCTAGATATCAAAAGGTCATTTGATTTCTGTTAAGATAGATAGAAATATATAGATATGTTCTCGGATGCCCTGTTTGGCTGCCTGGAAAAATTTGGATAGATAAGAGTGAGAATTAAAAAAAAATTAAACAGATAAAAAAAACAAAGCTAGGTAAATTTTAACAGATAAGAAAAATGCATGAATTTCAACAGATAGAAATTTCTCACATGTAGAATTTCAATAGATAGAAATTACACAGATAAAAATTTCAACAGATAGTCAAAAAATTAGATAGATATTTAAAAAAATTAAACAAATAATAAAATATTTAAATAGATTGTCAAAAAAATTAAATAGATAAAAAAAAATATTTGAACAAATAGTCAAAAAACTTAAACAGATATATTAAGAAATAAAATTAGAAATAAAATATCCTCCAAAATAATAAAATGGACTTTTCACCTTAATATTTTACAAAGAGTGGACATCTCATCAAGAAAAAAATGCCCATAGGATCTAATGCCTTATATCCTCCTTAGATTAGACTTTTTAATAATTTTCTCATCAAAATATCGTTTTACATTAAATGCTTTTTTTGGTAACAAGATCATAATATTAGAAAATAAAGTAATAGCAGAAAGAAGATTTGCAACACATACAGTAAAGGTATTTTTATTTATTTAATTTCTTATTTTGAAATATATTTTATTTTTGTTGTATTATTATGATATCAATGGATTAATTTTTCATTTTTATTTTTTTGTTCTAATATTATACCATCAATGGATGAAAATGTAATTGTAACGGATATTTTTATCAAGGAGAAATTTACAATGTGCATCTTTTCAAAAGATGTACATTGTAAAAAAGTTATGATTTTTTTATGATGAACGCTATGATTTTTTGTTGTGTGTTATGACATTTTGTACTGAAATTATAAATAGTGAATTTATGATGTGCACCTTAAAATTAAGAATGATAATGTTATGATATTTTGTGATTTTTGTCATGACACTTTGTGATTTTTGTCATGACACTTTGAGATTTTGTTATTACATTTTTCAATGAAAAAAGTTATGACTTTTGTAGTGAAAAAGTTATGACATTTTGAGTTTAAGTTATGAAATTTGTGAAAAAGTTATGAAAAGCATACTATATGCACTTTTTTTATGGTGCACTTTTTTTATGACAAAAATTCTTTCACAAAAGGAGTAATTTTTCCGCCACGGTGTAAGTATTTTCACGAAAATGTGTAAGTTTTAGAAAATGTGTAAATTTGATGAATTTTTTTTTCACAAAATATATAAGTGACTTGAGAAAAATGTTTAAGTTTGGCTTTCACAAAAGGTGTATGTTTCAAGAAAATGTATAAATCTTATGACAAAAATTCTTTCACAAAAGGAGTAACTTTTCGGCACGATGTAAGCATTTTCACGAAAAGGTGTAAGTTTTAGCAAAATGTGTAAATTTGATTTTTTTTTTTTTTCACAAAATATATAAGTGACTTGAGAAAAATGTTTAAGTTTGGCTTTCACAAAAGGTGTAAGTTTCAAGAAAATGTATAAATCTTATGGCAAAAATTCTTTCACAAAAGAAGTAACTTTATCGCAGCAGTATAAGTGTTTTCACAAAAAGGTATAAGTTTTAGCGAAATGTATAAATTTGATGATTCTTTTTTTCACAAAATATATAAGTGACTTCAGAAAAATGTTTAAGTTTGGCTTTCACAAAAAGTGTAAGTCTTAAGAAAAGGTATAAATTTTATGACAAAAATTCTTTTACAAAAGGAGTAACTTTGCCGCAGCGGTGTTAGTGTTTTCACAAAAAGGTGTAAGTTTTAGCAAAATGTGTAAATTTGATGAATTTTTTTTTTCACAAAATATATAAGTGACTTCAGAAAAATGTTCAAGTTTGGCTTTCACAAAAAGTGTAAATTTAAATAAAAAGTATAAATTTTATGGAAAAAGTAATTTCACAAAAGGAGTAACATTTCAAAGTGTTCATAAACACAAAAGGAGTAACATTTTAAAGTGTTCATAACCACAAAAGGAGTAACACTTCAAAGTGTTCATAAACAAATTGGGACAACCACTGAACAAATCAAATGGTTCGTGACCCCCGCTGACCACCCGAGCGTCGGTGGCCTCCGGTGCTCACTGCCGTCGCCACCTCCACGGCCACCGCCGCCTCCACGGCCACGGCTACTTCCACGGCCACCGCCGCCGCAAATCAAAGGTTTTTTTCTCTTTGGCTATCGATCTTGGTCTCTCTCTGTTGATGTCGGCTGTCGATATCAGTCTCTCTCGGTCTGTCTCCAGCGATCTTGGTCTGTCTGTGTCCATGTGGTCTCTTCTCTGTCGATCTCTGTCGATTCGGTCCCTCTCTGTCAATCTCGGTCTGGCTGTCTCTGTCGATTCGGTCCCTCTCTGTCAATCTCGGTCTGGCTGTCTCTGTCGATTCGGTCCCTCTCCGTCGATCTTGGTCTGGCTGTCTCTGTCGATCACTGTCCATCTAGGTCTCTGTCTGTTGATCTCAGTCTATCTCTCTCTCCTCTCTGTCTGCCGTTGCTCTATATTACAAATAGTTCTCTTTTACATTGACATACTTGGTTGGATTTGGAGTTGGAGTCGCTATTCCAAGCCCTCCCAAGCTCGTCTTCTCTGAAACGGACTTCTACTGAGAGAAAGACCAAGCCCTTCGAAACGCCCTTCTCTCTCACATTGCCATTATTTGAAGAAGACAAATATAGTTTGATTGGATTTAGGAACTTACAGGTTTTGCGAAGTTACTTACATCTCCCGTGAAAACACTTACACTATTTGTGGAAGGTTAAACATTTGTGAAATAATTTATTTTTTAAAATTTACGCCTTTTCGTTGAAATACCCTTTTTCTCTGTGAGAAGTATCTTTTGTGGAAAAAAAAAATTGATGAAATTTACACATTTTGCCTAAACTTACAGTTTTTCGTGAAAAAACTTACACCATTGCTGAAAAGTTATCCTTTTGTGAAAGAATTTTTGTAATAAGATTTATACCTTTTATGGAACTTACACCTTTTCAGAAAGCCAAACTTAAAGCTTTTTCTGAAGTAACTTACATCTTTTGTGGGAAAAAAAATTCGTAAAATTTATATCTTTGCTAAAATTTACACCTTTTCGTGGAAGTGCTTATATCTTTTCTGAAAAGTTACTCATTTTTGTGAAATGATTTTGAAATTATTGTAAGTTCAAAAGGCGTAAGTATTATGTGTAAGTTGT